GTCAAAGTAATCTTCACCTTCTTTCTGAGTGTAGCCCTTGGCCACTAGCCGCGCCTTGTACTTATCAATAGTACCATCAGGCTTTAGCTTCTTTTTGAACACCCACTTACAGCCCACAGGTTTACAACCATATGGTCTATCAGTTAGTTCCCAAGTTCCATTATAAAGAATTGAGTCCATCTCATTATGAACAGCTTCTTTCCAATCATCTACATCCGGAGATGCATATGCTTCTGCAATCGTCTTGGGTGTGTCGTCCACAAGGTATACAATGAAATCATCACCAAAGGACTTTGCAATCCTTTATCTCTTGTTCCTTCTAGGAACTTCATTGTTATCCTTCTCAAGGACTTCCTCATGTGATTGTTCGAAATATTCATCAGTTGTACTAGATTCAGGAATTATCTCAGAAGAAAATCTAGCAATGCTATGCATATCTTTCATAGGAAATATGTTCTCAAAAAATGTTGCGTCATGAGATTCCATTATAGTATCAACATGCATATCAGGTACTTCAGATTTTACCACTAAAAACCTATAAGCAATGCTCCGTTGAGCATATCCTAGAAAGACACAATCCACTGTCTTTGGTCCAAGTTTGTGTTTCTTAGGAATAGGAATATTGACCTTTGCCAAACATCCCCAAGTGCGCAAATAAGAAAGTGATGGTTTTCTCCCAACCCACTCCCCATAAGGGGTTTTCTCTTTATTATTGTTGGGAACTCTATTCAGGACATGACATGAAGTCAATAGAGCCTCCCCCCACCATGCCTTAGATAAACCCGCAGTGTCTAACATGGCATTCACCAAGTCAGTCAATGTGCGGTTTTTCCTCTCGGCCACTCCATTTGATTGAGGTGAATAGGGAGGCGTCCTCTCATGAATAATACCATGTTCCTCACAAAATTCATCAAAAACTTTTGGAAAATACTCTCCACCACGATCGGACCTAAGACGCTTGATATTTCTCTCTAGTTGATTTTCAACTTCAGCTTTATAGATTTTAAAGTAGTCTAATGCTTCATCTTTAGTTTGCAACAAATAAACATAGCAAAATCTAGTCGCATCATCAATCAAAGTCATGAAATATCTCTTTCCACCTTTTGTCAACACACCATTCATCTCACAAAGATCAGAATGTATGAGTTCTAGAGGTGCCAAGTTTCTCTCCTCGGCAGCCTTATGAGGCTTTCGAGGTTGCTTAGATTGCACACAACTATGGCACTTAGAACCTTTGGCAACTGTGAAGTTCGGAATTAAACTCATGCTGGATAGCCGAGACATTAAACCAAAATTAATATGACATAAACGAGAGTGCCAAATACTTGCATCATCATTAACACTAGCACAAATTTGGTTTATTGACTTATTGCAAAAATCTGAAAGAGAAAAGCGGAACAAGTCTCCGCACTCATAGCCTTTTCCTATAAATTGTCCAAATCTTGACACGATTACTTTATTGGACTCTAAAACTACCTTAAAACCATCTCAACATAGAAGGGAGCCGCTAACTAGATTCTTGTTCATAGTAGGGACATGCTGCACGTTCCTTAGTTGCACGATCTTTCCCGAAGTAAACTTCAGATCCACCGTGCCAATGCCACGAACAGAAGCATGTGACCCATTCCCCATTAGGACGGAAGAATCCCTTGCGACCTGATAAGAAGTAAACAGGGAGATGTCAGCACACACATGAACGTTAGCACCCGAATCAATCCACCATGAAGATGATTGAAATACTGAAAGCACAATAGGTAAATTACCATACCCATCAGTATTGCTAGCGGTCACCATGTTGACAGTCTTGGAGCTTGTTTTCCCTCTGCGGTCTGCATGTTCAGGGCATTCCTTGGAAAAGTGTCCAGGCTTCCCACGGGCGTAGCACTCTAGCTCAGCCTTGTTGAACTTCTTCTTCTTGAAGGTAGTAGTCTTGGTAGGCTTGTTGGAAACAGGTTTGTTCTTCCCTTTGTTCTTGTTCTGTGGGTACCTCTGCACCATGTTAGCAGTAGGCTGAACCTCACCTCCTTTTTCAGTGGTATCTTTAGCCCGAGATTTTTCTTCAACATCAAGAGATGCAATCAGATTTTCAATTGATATCTCCTGTCTCTTATGCTTCAGAGTTGTGGCGAAATTCCTCCATGAAGGAGGCAACTTTGCAATCATGCACCCAGCCACGAATTTGTCGGGTAGAACACATTTAAGGAGTTCAAGTTCCTTCACAATGCATTGTATCTCATGAGCTTGTTCAACCACAGAACGGTTATTCACCATCTTGTAGTCATGAAAACTCTCCATGATGTATAGTTCACTGCCTGCATCTATTGCACCGAATTTTGCATTCAGTGCATCCCACAGAATTTTTCCGTCGTTTATGTGCATGTACACATCACACAGACGGACAGCAAGAACACTCAGAATGCATCCCACAAACATAGTATTGGCTTCCTGGAATTTTCTCTGATCTTCGTCGGTCATTCCCTCTGGAGCACCAACACTAGCGTGGAAAATTTTCAGAGCAGTAAGCCAGAGCGTGGTCTTCACCTGCCACCTCTTAAAGTGCACACCGGTAAACTTATCCGGCCTCAGTGCATCAGCGAATCCAGCCATAGTTAACTCAGGAAATTGCCTATAATTAGGTTTTTGGATTGTTGGAATATTAGGCAAGTTCATGATTAATTCCAGTAAATAATTCATGACTAGAAGAAATACTAGCATGCAATAATCTAGCAAACTAGAAGAACAACAAGACATGCATAACAGCAGCAAGCACGTAACAATAGCTGTAGAAGCAGACATGAACAAAGGATGTTGGACGTACTGATCGTTAGCTATTATGGGTGCGACAGTGTTGATGACGATGTTGGCGACGATCTGCTGCTGACGACGATGAATACGACGATGAGTAGCACCGCCCGACTTGGACGGAAGACGACCCGTGATGACGAATTTGAGCAGTCGCGCACAGTGCTTCCCAAAAACCTAATTCGTCCTCTCCCGGTGCAGGATCGCAAAGACGAACGGTTCCGGAGACCTGCTCTCCCACGCGCCGATGCACGCCGGCGTTTGGGATGGAGTAGACTACGATGGCGGCACAAGTTGTGAGATGAGGCAAAACCCTAGGTGTTTTTCGGTGTGTCTCTGGCCGCAGCCGGTAGCTGTATATATATTAGGACCAGAGGCGGTATTGTGTCGCGACCACAATCCCAAACCGACTCGGTTTCTAATTCGTATACTTACCGGACAAGAAATCAAAAACTTGTCTGCCAAGACATAAAAAATAAAACGGCAAAAGGAAGCTGCGCTCCTACAAGGAGACGGACCGGATTTCGGCGAACCATTCACGCGCATGTCGCATGTCGCATGCCCGGCCAGGCGAGCGAGCAAGCGCGCGCGTGTGGTTTTCCCTTTCTCTTTTCACACACCACTTAGAGTGGTAGAGAGAACCCACTATATAAAGAGGTCCAACTCTTCTTCAACTTCCAAGGTGGGACTAAACTTAGCACCACCACTTGCCATTTTACACATGGGCTTTGAGATTTCAGAATTGTTATGGGCCTAGCCCATTAATTCTAACAGCCGCCGGCACCACCACGACCTCTGCGCCCATCGCAGAAACGGGCGGCTCCCGCTCTCGGCTCCAGTGGGGTCTCTCGCGGTCGCCGCTGCGGATTTGTTGAACTCGCCGGCGGCGGTGCTCGCCTGACTTCCATCGAATAGGTATGGACTGTGAGCTACCCTGCTCTACTTGTCAGCTTCTGCAGTGAAATTTGTTGGTGTTTTAGAAGCATTAGTGTGGTGGCACCGCGGTGTAGTAAGTGGTGTGTTTCTTCACATGGATCTTGCTGGATAAAACCAATTGTGTACCCGCTAATCTGCTACCATCGTACTGTCATAGTTGACACCATAGATCTTACTGAAATTAAGGTGACAACAATAATAAAAGCAACTGTTTACCTGCTAGCCTGCTTCTTCACAGGGAGATTTTGTATAATAAAAGCAATCTTTATTAACCAGTTATCATAGTTGACATGTTCATGATGCATACTACTTGGTACGGGTATGTTTGCTTTGAAAAATTTGACAAGTTCTGCATTTCACTGTTCTTTAACCCTCTGATGACTATATCGCTAGTCGCTACTATCTACGCAGACCAATTAGTTTACTCTTGATGATCAAGAAAGCACAATTTTTGCCCTACTATGTACAGTCAAAAAAAAAGCACAACTTATGTATATGCAGACACGAACTGATCCTTATTTGCTAGCGGGCTACAACTAAATACTGGCTGAACCGCAATATCTGCCGAACGTTCGCTGGGAGCGGTTGGCATTTGTGAACATTTTAGATGGCAAGTTTAGTTGTATGGGGTTGGCGGTTTAGTGTGTCCCAAAATTGGGGGCTCTACAATTTGTTGTATTGTGCATGAATTGATGCTTTCAAAAGGCATAAAGTAACTTCCATGAATCATGCGACTCGATTCCTAAATCTAGTTCTAGTAGACTTAATCAGTTAGCGTAGCAACTCAAAGGTATTTTAACCCATAATTCTAGATCTTATATTCTAGCAATGGTTCGACTGAATCTGGTACAATTGGATAAATAGCATGATTATCATTTATTCATGTGTCTATGTACCAAGAGTTCATGTCTACTTCTTTAGTACAGTTATTATGTCATTTGCAGAGTGACTGAATTCTGATAGAAATTGCAAGTTTGCATGTGCATCCTGAATTGACTGTGACATTGAGTGGTTTTTCCTTTTTACTAAATTGTGAAATTAGGTTTATGTACTTTTCTAGCATTCTTGTGTATTTAGGTTGGCAATTGGCGCTTATGAAGTTACGATTGTAGTTATGGTTGTCATTCAGTATGATACCTACAGACCTACCTCTCTGATGATACATACATATATCAGCAGGTGTTTGCTAATCGTGCTGAAGCTTGTGGCCATTTTCTGCAAAACTGGGCATCTTGGTAGCTACACTCATAAGCGTCCAACAGATGGTGAGCGCCTTGGCAGGGGTGATGACCTCTGTCATCGGCAAGCTCACCACCCTGCTTGGGGAGGAGTACGCAAAGCTGAAAGGTGTGCACAGGGAGGTGGAGTTCATGAAAGATGAGCTGAGCAGCATGAACGCGCTCCTTCAGAGGCTGGCAGAGGTGGACCGTGATCTTGATGTGCAGACAAAGGAATGGAGGGACCAAGTCCGGGAGATGTCTTATGATATTGAGGATTGCATAGACGACTTTATGAAAAGCCTTGGCCAAACTGACATTGCTAAGAGAGCAGGGCTTGTCCAAAATGTGATCCAGCAGCTCAAGGCACTGAGGGGGCGCCATCAAATATCCAGCCAAATCCAGGGGCTCAAGGCACGTGTTGAAGATGCAAGCAAGCGACGTATGAGGTATAAGCTCGATGAGCGCACCTTTGAGCATCGCATCTCAAGGGCCATTGACCCTCGTCTTCCTTCGCTCTATGCTGAGCCAGACGGGCTCGTCGGTATTGACAAGCCAAGAGACGAGCTCATCAAGTGCCTAATGGAGGGGGTGCAGCTTGGGTGGCATGGTTGCAGGTGGTTGGCCGACCGGGGATGCAGCGGTAGGGTGGAGCACCGGGGTTCATCACTTACCTGTCCGTACACGGGTCGACGGTGGCGGCGTCCGTGGATGTCGTGTTCCTCCCTGTAGGCTCCGTCGTGGTGCTCTCACTCCTCCCGTCGTGTTCCGGGTGAAAACCTGATCTTTGGATCGGACGATGGCGACGGTCCGTGGTCGTGCCCTTCTTGGAGGCATCGTCTTGGAACCCTCGGTCCGGCGTGGTCCGTTGCACTTCTTCCCGGACGATCTCTCATCTTGTGGTAGTCGTTGAAGTTGTGTGTCGGTGCCCGGCATTCTTGTTTCTTGCCTTGGGTTGTGTGGCGTGCGTTTGTATCGGTTCTTGGATGTAAGTGTTGGTGCTTTATTTATAAAGCGGGGGGAAACCCTTTTTCGGTAATGGAGGGGGTGGGTGCATTGGTGCAGCAGCAAAAGGTGATATCAATTGTGGGTTCTGGGGGCCTCGGTAAAACTACACTTGCGAATGAGGTGTACCGTAAACTGGAAGGCCAGTTCCAGTGTCGAGCTTTTGTTTCTTTGTCGCAGCAGCCTGATGTGAAGAAGATCCTAAGAAGTATACTCTCTCAAGTCAGCCAGCAGGAGTACGCTAACATAGATGTCTGGGATGAGGAAAAGCTCATCAATGCAATCCGAGAATTTCTAAAGAACAAAAGGTACTCATAAATTTTGGATGGATCCCATCATACTTGGATCAATGTCCACATCTATTCAGTTGCTTAAACACTTGTTTGATTTGCTGGGTGTACATATATAACACATTCTATTAGTTTCTACTGTTTTTCAATTTAAATTAAATATAGAACAGAAAAATGTTTTTCTGCTTGTAGAGAAAGGCAGATATACTGAGCAGGCGACCATATTTCATTCTGTTTATGATTACTCTGGTTTTGGTTTCAGGGGGATTTAGGAACTTCGCATTTTCACTTGTTTCTACGGTAGAACTTTAGGGGATAATTATCATTAGTGACATATAAAATAGAAGTGATCCAGTACCCAATTAACTGATAATTGTACAATCCTGGTTCGACTCGCAAAAAAAAAAAAGATTCCTGAAGCTCACGTTCTTTGTGTAGCACAGAAGCATTTTTCCTTACTTAGTTACTGCATCCTCCTCTGTTTCACTATATCCATGCCCAGCCTTGGGAAACTCCATTTCAATATATATGTTCATTGAGGAAATAAAGGGTGCAGCTACTGCAATGGTCTCACTTTATAGTTTATATACTCCTATTTAATTGCTCTGGAAATTATCCTACAAGCTTTATCATTTGGCATTCAGGAGGTGTGCCATTTTTATGTTGTTAACACTTCTTCATCTATAATAGCTTTTATGGAGTAGGCATTTAAATTTTCCTATTGTAGGTATTTTGTCATCATTGATGATATTTGGAGTAATCAAGCATGGAAGATTATCAAGTGTGCTTTGTTTCCAAATGATGTTGGGAGCAAAATAATGACAACAACTCGCAGTATTACTATAGCCAAGTCATGTTGCTCTCCTCAGCATGATCATGTCTATGAAATAATGCCTCTTACTGAAGCCAACTCTAAGAGTTTATTTTTGAAACGTATATTTGGCTCGGGAGATATGTGCCCTCCTAAGTTGGAAGAAGTCTCCTCAGAGATATTGAAGAAATGTGGTGGTTCACCCTTGGCGATTATTACAGTGGCTAGCTTGCTGGCTAATAAAGCTAGTACAAATGAAGAATGGGAGAGGGTATATAACTCAATCGGTTCGACACTGGAAAAAGATCCCGGTGTAGAAGAGATGAGAAAAATATTATCCCTCAGCTATGATGATCTTCCCCATCATTTAAAGACATGTTTACTATACCTGAGTATATTTCCAGAAGACTGTGAGATTAAGAGGGATCAATTGATAAGGAGGTGGATTGCTGAAGGATTTATTAATACGGAGGGTGGACAAGATTTGGAGGAGATAGGAGATGGGTATTTCAGTGACCTTATCAATAGAAGTATGGTTCAGCCAGTGAGAATTCAATATGATGGTCGAGTTTATTCATGCCGAGTCCATGATATGATTCTTGATCTTCTTATATCCAAGTCAATTGAAGAAAATTTTGTTACCTTCTTTGGTGGCCAAAATCAGGAATTAGTGCTACAACATAAGATTCGTAGACTATCTCTGAACTGTTATTCCCAAGAGCACATCGCAGTTCCATCAACAGCGATCATTTCTCATTGCCGGTCTCTCAGTGTATTTGGGTATGCTGAACAGATGCCTCCTCTTTCGAAGTTTAGAGTTCTGCGAGTACTTGATATAGAAAATGGTGAGGACATGGAAAGCAGTTTTATTGAACATGTAAGGACTCTTTGTCAGTTGAAGTATTTGCGGCTCGATGTCAGAAGCATTTCTGCATTCCCAGAGCAATTAGGAGAACTACAGCATTTGCAGACTCTGGATATAAGATGGACAAAGATACGAAAATTGCCCAAAAGCATTGTTCAACTGCAAAATATGACATGTTTGCATGTCAATAATCTTGAATTACCTGAAGGAATTGGGAATCTGCATGCTCTTCAGGAGCTAAGAGAGATCAAAGTCAAGTGGGACAGTTTGGCATCTTCTTTGCTGGAATTGGGCAGCCTGACTAAATTGAGGATTCTTGGGCTGCGCTGGTGCATCATCGATACACACGGTAACAAAGAAATTTTTGTGGAGAACGTGGTCTCATCGCTCTGTAAACTGGGTAGACTCAACCTTCGGTCTCTATGCATTAAGAGTGACTATGGTTATTCCATTCCTCTAAAAGAAATGTATGGTTATTCCATAGAATTCTTGCTGGATTCTTGGTTCCCATCCCCTCATCTCCTCCAGAAATTTCAGATGGACGCGTACTATTTCTTTCCCAGAGTTCCAGTTTGGATCGCGTCACTTGACAACCTCTCGTACCTAGATATCAATATTAACCCTGTAGAAGAGGAGGCATTAGAGATCCTTGGAGGGTTACCTGCTTTGCTGCTTCTGTGTTTGTCATCAGAATCATCTGCTCAAAAACAAAGACTCGTTATAAGCAGCAACATGTTCATATGCCTGAAGGATTTCCGCTTCACCTGCTGGAGCAATGGCAAAGGACTGATATTTGAAGCTGGGGCCATGCCGAGTCTTGAGAAGCTGGAGGTTCCATTAGACGCAGGCAAGGATCTTGATTTTGGCATCCAGCACCTCTCTTCCCTTATGCATGTTACCGTGAAGATCATTTGCCGTGGTGCCACGGTTCGGGAGGTGGAAGCATCGGAGGACGCCATCAGGAGCGCAGTTACTCTCCTTCCGAACCACCCCACACTGGAAATCCGAATATGGGGTGATGAAAATATGGTGGAGGAGGACCAAGGGAAGGCTGAAGAGGAGATCCAGACAAGCACACAACTCATCTGACAAATTTTCAGGTTTTCTTTTCCCTCCCTTAGGCTGCATAATTTTTGTAAATTTCCGTGGAGCAAATTACACATGGATCACTGAACACGTTGCAAATTACATATGGATCACTGAACACGTACTGCTGGTTCAAGTATGTATCTGAACTCCAAACTTGCATATTTAGGTCACTGAACTTAGTGGGTCAGTCTAGGAGTCTAGATCGGTACCAACATTTTGTCCCATGTTCACCGATGCCACCGTGCATACTGGCATGTGTGTAGTTATATCTAAAAAGGACAAATCTGGTAGGAAGATCACCCATTATAGACTGGAGGTGTTCCATCCAACCACTGTTCTGACGAGCATGGGAAGGAATTTTCCCGGCCTAGTCCACCCAATCCTACGCTTCCATTTTCCTGTTTCCTATGATGCATAGAAAGTAAACCAAAACCATGATGCTCCTAGAGTGAATAAAAGAAGGCTCTTAGTTTAAACACTAGAAATTGAATGAGCATTTCAATAGTTTCAGTTGCCTGTATTACTAATACTAGTAGTACAGACATTTAATGGTTTAATTTGATAAATGCCACTCCAACTTCTGCATGCTTCAAAGAATGCCACTATGACCACCTGAGCATAAACACTTGTCAATACCACTGTCATATTCGTGCCCGTATTTTCATATGGACCAAATGCCCTTGTCCTCATATTTAATTGATTTGGCACGCCTTGTTTCCTTTCCGGAAGATTCAACAATTGCTGTCCTAGCAGGTAACTTTACAGTCGGTCTAACAGAAGGAAGCAAAGGAACAAATTGAATTTCCAGGTGATGAATCATGGACCTCCGGCCAAAGCTGCACCCTCGATGTCAGGCCCTTCCTCCAGGCAATCAGCAATTCCCAAATGATCTGATTGCTCAGGTCGTGCTGCAGATCTTCTATTCCGTTGTCTCGCAGCGGCGCTGCAGCAGAGCGCTTCTCTCTCCGGCAATGCTTGAGCATCCAGGTATGAACCGAGGTTGCCTCAGCGATGAGAGATCCTTGCCGAGCGTCACGCCCCAAACGCAACACGCTGAAGAAGAGAAGCGTAAGCTGAAGCAGACTGACGAAGCTGAACCAGTGCAAGTGCAGGGCACCGTTCAGAGTGAAGCAACGACTGGTGAGCTGGCAGGCGGGACCCGCAAGTCAGCTCGACCCCCATCCCCGTCCAAGAGATATTCCAAAGTGGTCTTGTGTTAGCGAGAAATTTGGATATTTGCCACTTTCAATAAGTGGCTTCTCAAAATTGCCACTTTCGAGGTTGGCTTCGCAAAATTGCCACTCAGCTCATTGACCCCTTGATTACCATGCCATTTCCTCTTTTTATTGATTTTCTTTTTTCTTTTCTCATTTATAGACATTAGACAAGACCAAACTGCCCCTGAGGCTATGTACACCTACTGAATATCTGTATTCTCGTTCGACTGAGAAGAACAAGGCGCAAATTTCTGGTCGTCAGTTCGTCGGCCTGCATCACGGTCGCTGTCGTGGCCCGCGCCACTTGGGTGCTTGCTGCTTGCTCTGCTCGACCGTCGTCGCCGCTCGCCCGGTTTGCCCGCACGATCCGCTCGCGCCGCCCGTCCCGGTCGCCTGGCCACTCTGCTGGGAACATGTAGCAAGGGAAAGGAAAATCATCTTACCCTTGGGAAAGACCAGGTTCCAAGCCGCCGCTGCGGTAGCAAACGATCGGTGGCGCACTGCGTGCACGCGGTGCAATCGGCAGCACAAGACGTCCAGCCAGCGGCACGCGGCGTCCAGACGATCGGCGGCGCATGACGCCGAGAAGAATCGCCGGAGCGCGACGTCCAGGTAACCGGTGGTATGGCACACGCGATATTATCGGCAGTCAGCGCGGGCACTGCGGTTCAAGTGATGATTCCATGCCATATACGGCAGATACATACGTGTAACAGGCACAGGGGTAAGTTAGTCTTTTCATAGCCAGTTAATGTGAAAAAACAATTAAAACGAATTAAAGAGGAGCTCATGGCATACTAATCAAGGTTTCAACGACCTAAGTGGCAATTGTGCGAATCAATTCTCCAGAGTGGCAAATCAGCGAAGCGCCACGAACAAAGTGGCAAAAATCCAAATAACTCTGTTAGCGGCGGTACGCTTGTTTTTTTTTTTGGAGGGAGCGGTGGGGTACGCTTGTAAGTGTTAGTGGTGTGAGTGTAGTGTTAGCCGGCGGCCAGCCCAGCTTGCGCGCGCTCTTTCTCTCGGCCTGACGAACTCAACAACACGATGATTTGCGCAGCGCAGAAAACCCGCTGTTTTCTGTTTCTCTTTGTTCCTTTTTTTTCCGATAAAACTACTGATCTACTCCCTCCATTTCTAAATATTTGTCTTTCTATAGATTTCAACAAGTAACTACATACGGAGCAAAATGAGTGAATCTACGCTCTAAAATATGTCTATATACATCCGTACGTGATAGTCCATTTGAAATCTCTAAAAAGACAAATATTTAGGAACGGAGGGAGTATTGTTTATGTTCGATCATGGCAGTAAAACGATTCTTTTTTTATTAAGTTGCCGCCGATAACCTCTGTTCATGTAGTGTAATGCCCTTGCACAACCAAGGTAGACAAACCGGCCTACTGGCTAAGGCCTTTCTCTACCATTCAGGAGACCTGGGTTCAAACCTGGCTCCTCCCAATTTTTGCAGCCTTTTTTTTCGCGAATTTCAGTTGGCGTAATATAGAGCTACCTCGCTAAGTGCCGCTTAACGGATGGTCTACACAGTATAATTACGGCGAAAACATTCTCTTTTTAATATTTTTTTGCAAATTCAAGTATTTTTTAAAATATTCATATCTTTCAGACCCGAACTCCAAATTTAGTATGTTATATATGGAAATCGCCCAAAAAAATTGCAGATTCTAAATATAATGTTATCTTGCATGTTAATTAATTTTAAAACTATATTTATGTTGCATCCTTCATTAGTACTTTTTTTTCTATTAAAGGCATGGACGTTTCTTACTCCCATTTTTTGTATGTCACTTATTACCAGATTTCATCCGTCGTTTTGTTCGTCCATTTGCACATAAGATTAAAAAGAAAATAAAAAATATTCACAATTTTAAAAAATGTTTGCAAATACTATAAAATGTTCATGAATTCAAAAAATGTTCTTGATTTTAGAAAATGTTCAAAAATTTGTAAAAGTTTTCATAAAATTTAAAAATGTTCATAATTTCAAATATGTGCACGAGTTTTAAAAAATGTTCGTGATTTCACAAAATTGAGAGCGATAGTGTATCTCGATGATGCAACAAAATGTGGTCATAGCCATTGACAATTATGAAAAAAAATCTCATGTTGCAACGCACGGGCCCTTTTGCTAGTCTATATCTATACCTACTAATAAAAGAAATAGGTTTCCCTAATTTTCCTAAAAAAAGAAATAGGTATTCTTAGTCCGTCATGCTATCTTATAGAAAACTCCCTGATTTTCTTGACATTAAACCTGTAGTAGATGTCAAATGTTTTTTAAAATACTCATGTCTTCTAAACTGTGACTCCAAATTTAACATGTTATATATGAATTCTGATTAGAAAAATCTGTAGAATTTGAATATGATGTTATTTTACCTATTAACAATTAAAAAAATACTATCTAGGATGCAATCTTAATCAATAATGCATTATCTGTCTGTTTTTGTCGTGTTCCTTTACCAGCCCGTAACAATACCCCATTTCACACATGACAAGAATAAATGCATAATCACTTGGCCGCTTCTTTGTACGAATTAAATCTATATGCAAGTCATGTTGAAATATAATACTTGTGGAATCTTGAATTGTGCTTTTGTAGGCTAAGACCATCTTTGTTTGGATCGTAGCTACAAATTCTGAGATTATAGACCACTTTTTATAAATTAAGAACATGTGATATTTTTTTTCTCCCGTTGCAACGCACAGGCCTTTTTGCTAGTAAAAATAATAAAAATTACATCCAGATTTGTGGACCACTTAGCCACAACTACCAGCACAGCCGAAGGCACGCCACCATAATTGCCCCTCCCTTGCCGGAGCCGGGCAAACCTTATTGTAATAGACAGTCGGGAAGTTGTTGTGCTAGCCCCATAGGACCAACACACTAAAACATTAACCGCCACCCATGAAGAGTAGATTAAATTGGAAGGATACCATCGAAAGACACACGAACATAAAACGAACAATGACCAAATCTGAGCAGAACCATCGGACACATACATCCACACGTCCACCGACGATGCTAAACGCACTACCGGGGAAGGGGCTAGGCGGGGAGAATTTATTCCATCTTCAAGGAGCCGCCGCGCATCTCGCATTCCTGAACAGGACACAAAACCTAACAAAACTCAAAGAAACATAAAAAACGGAGCCCTCCCTTCGGCAAAGACCAGGATCCACCATGCGCCCAATGGCCCTAAGGCCACCAGAGACGAGACGGACCGGCGACGATGCTGGCGGAAGATAGAGGAACCCTGACTTTTCTTGAGGCAGGAGGAACCTTCTCTTCGTTCCTTTTATTCTGCAATGATGCAACAACCATGGCTCGACAAGCATGCCACAACTCCGCTCGTTCGATTCTGGTTGTCATCGCTTCTTCTAGATGAAACAAAACAACGATTTTTCCAGTTTTTTTCGTAATTCAACACATTTGTAAATCGGCTAATCTTCGAGCTCACTCAAGCTTCCTGATCAGCAACCTATTGACTGACAGCAACATGAATGCATTAGTTGAATATAAAGCTCTTAGGTTTCCTACAAACGGTCCGCCCCATCTGCGATGGCCTCTGAGCCATGGCGGTACGGAGGATTTCACCCTCCCCCCGTTGGAGGGACCCCGTTCTCGTTCTCGTTAGATTTAGCGTCTTTGGTTGGGGCTGTGTAGCGGTGGCGATGTCACTTAGTAGGAATAATATCTCCCACATTCTATCCCCGCCTGATGGTGAGTCTAGCATCGTCGGAGGACGTGTGGAGGTTTATCTCCTTCGGGTCTCACAGATTTGGACGGTGCTGGTCTTTGATGGATCTGTTTGGATCCGGTCTTCGCCCGTCTTCGTTTGAGTGTTTACAGATTTGATCCTTCTATTTTACGACTTTATTCTTCAGCGAGGTTTGCTGCTCTGGTGCGTTGGCCCGCACGACGACTTCCCACTA